AACAAAAAAAAAATACAGAATATGGTAAAATTCACAATTTTCTTCTGAAACCGAAATTCAAATCGTACAATTTTTTTTACACACACATTTTAAAATGCCTTCCTTTTCTAAGAAAAAAATTGTTGAAATACCTATCTTTTAGTTTTTTTTTAATGGTAACCCACTCTGCAAATTTTTCTAATTTTTTGGATAAAGACTATGATTTAGAGATTACAACTATCTAAAGAAAATGGTTTTTGCATCATTTTTTGAAAAGAATGATAATAATTATTAGTTAATATTTTTCTTAAGAATAGAAGGAAAAAAAATAGAGAAAAAAAACAACTATGAACTTTAGTAACCATTTTCCAAACAAAAAAAAACGGAATATGGTAAAATTCACAATTTTTTTTTGAAACCGAAATTCAAATCGTACAATTTTTATAGTACAGTTATTTTTTGTTTATTTTAGAGAACCTGAATCGTACAAGTTTTTGAGTACAGTTTTTTTTTGTTTATTTTAGAGAACCTGGTCGATGTTCTCTCCGAAGAGGACCCCTCGAAAGACTGTCTTACTTCAACTCAACGCTCCGACTTTATCGAATTTATAGAAGACAACCAAATGATTCTGACATGTCGCGAATGTGGTAAAAGCTTCACTCGTCTCGAAGGTTTGCGAAGCCACAAGCGTATCCACTTGGGTACACTTTTCAAATGTCGTTATTGTGGCAAAGGTTACACTAGACAAACTCACGTCTACCGACACGAATTATCTCACGGCAAACACAAACTCCACGTTTGCAGAATATGCAACAAGACTCTAACGAGAATGGAGCATTTAAAACGTCACTTGACGACACATCTAAAAGAAAAACCTTTCTCGTGTAAATCGTGTAATAGAGGTTTTAACAGATCGGATCATCTCGAAGTGCATGCAGTGAGGTGTAAGGGAGAGAGAGTACACATTTGTGACATTTGCAATCGGGGATTTTCGAGAGAGGATAGTCTTGAAGTGCACAAAAGGCTGCATGAGAATCAAAAACCGGCACTGCCAACTCTAGAGAATATAGATAATATCGAGGAGCATTATTACGAGATTGATTACGATCCCAACATGGATTATTCGGCTGGTTCGGATGTTGATGATTATTTAGAGCCGCATGTGGAAGTTACCGAAAATTTAGATGAGGATAGGATTAAGGAAGTGGAAAATTTACAAAACGACGACAGTAATAATAAGGGAGAGTCGGACCAGCAGATGGATATTAAAGATATGTTGGAATCTCAGATTGATCTTGAGATCAATGAAAATGATATCAGTATTGACGAAGATAAAAAAATTATAAGTAGAAGGTTTGAAAGTGACGAGTATGTGCCTGAGCAAGATGACGATATGGAGCTTGGCGGTAAGTTAAGTACAGGTACAGCTATTTACAGGATTTTAAAAATAATCATTTTCAAGTTGTTTTAAAAAATAGGTATTAAAATAGCACTAACGACAATTTTTCATCGGTCTATGACCAATTATTTTAGATTTCAGATTTTTTTACTTTCTCCGGTAATCTCATTAACTTCATGAACCCCTCATAAAATCTCGTACATTTTTGATAATTTCAAAGCATTCGTAATATGAAGTAGTCCATTGTCTATTACTTATTTAGTGACATAATAAGCATTTAAAAAAATAAATTAAGAAAATAAAATAGTATTATTTATAATGAACAAAGAAAAATAACAACAAATAATAAAAACAAAAGCAAACTAAATAACACGTACGATAGCTAACAAATGTTATTATTTTTTGTAATAATATGCTTGAAAGCAGTTTTTCTGTTTGCCTTAACAAAGAGACAAGTTACACACTGAGACTACATAATGCAAGTATCAACGAAATAGAAAAAAAATCAGTGCCACCATTTATGACTTTTTCAATTGAGTACAGTGACGGACAGTGAATTTTGTCCAACCAATTTCCATGACAGACTAAAAGTGTAAATTAGTCTTTAAGTTTTTCTAACCTTGTTTGAGAACTTTGATGAACATTTATCTTGTTGACAAAATGCTCGATATTCCTTACATACTTTTTATCAGTGCTTTGTCTTACATTGCTTGAAGTATAGTACCAATCCATTTTTAGATTGGAAATCCGGTCCAAAATAAATAAAAATTTAATTAAACTTGACAGTGTCAGTTATCATGACAATAAAGCACAGGCTACAGTGAATTTTTGTGAATTGACAGAAATTGGGTGGACGAAATGCACTGTCCATCACTGTAAAGTTTGTTTTTTTTTTTTTAAATGGAAATTACCAAGTCAAAATTTTGGTGAAAAAATTGGTAGCAGCTTGTGTCCATAGCCACAAATTTTGTTTGCTCTTTGTTTTTGTCCCTAGAAATTTTGTTAAAAAATTGTGGTTATGTTTTCAAATTCAGATGTTGTCAAAATTGTAACTTTTATAAATCTTGTCCATTATTTGTATACTCTCAAAAAACAATTCATTTTTTTTAAGTTAAAATAAGTATCATAAAAATGTAGGTATAGCTTGTTCAAAATCTGGTGGCGGACTGACGTTGTCAAAAATGACTGAATTTTGACACTAAACATATGTTTACTATTAAAAAAAAATATTGTTCATAGGCGTCGTATGAAATAATATTTCAAAACCACTGTTATTCTTTAAAAAATTATAATAAGTAGGTACTCGTACATAAGATGAAGAATAATGAACAAATAATTAAATTGTTAACGCATGAGAAGAATTTCCAAAAATAATATTCCTAACCTCCTAACATCCTTGTCTTCACAATTTTTAAAGAAAAAAAGTACGCCCATGTATTTTTTTATCTTAAGCAAGTGGGCGCACTCCAAGTGTCTTTTCTGTCACTGTCAGTTCGCCACCAGATATGGAATAAGCTCTATTTCAAATTAATTAATAAATTGTATAGTTTGCATAATAATTTTAAGTTCATTGATTGTAAATAAAAAAATGTGGTAAATTCTACAAGAATAATGTCTGTGTTATTAAAAATATTACCATTAATGAGCAAAACTGCTCAAAAATATAAATTAACCCATTAACGCTCAAATAATTTTTTTATGGAATTTTTTGACAACATGTGTTATTTTGTTCACAAAGAGTGTAGTTCTAAAGAAAAAAAAATTAGGGAACAGTTTTTTCATAAAGGGCTGTCCTCTAAATATGACGCTGGGCAGATGAGTGTAGAAAAGTAACAAAAATTTGTTACTTAAATGAGAACGGTAAAATCGTGTTAATTTATTTTTTAAGTAAATATTCCAATTAAAAAATATGTTTTTATTGTTTCTTAAATTTTTTATGACTTTCTGTTGTTTCGACAGTCTTTACCATCTTGCAAACAACTCTAATGGTTTTCTTGTATTCTTTGCCGTGTCTTGGCCAGAATCCAAAAAAAAATTGTATCAAAATCTTTGCCACACACTGCTCAGAATTTGTAACTAAACCTTATCAGTTTCGTTCTAATAAATTTTATTAGGACGTCGTCAGTTTTAGAAATGTCAGAAATTTTCTCAAATATCAAAAAAATTTGACGTGTTTTTTTATCGCATAAAAGTTTTCGTTCTATGTTATGTAATTCCTGATGGCCTACAACTGTAATACGGAGTAGTTTTCTTACTCCGTTTTTTTTTGTTGAAAGAAGAAATTTATGCTGTGGATAAAAATGTAGAAAGGCCAAGAATGAAGGCAACTGGGAGACTATCGACCTCAGGAGGCAAAACTACAATTAGTGCTTTGAATTCTTTGGAATTTAATTATTTTACAGCTTCTTCAAAAAAAATCTTTTATAACAATCTTTGTGAAAAAGCAGTAAAAATAAGTTTTTGAAAAAATATTGTGTTTTCGTACCTTTAACGCCCAGCGTCCTATTTAGAGGACACCGGAATTTAAAGGCACTTTGCAAAAAACACCAATTATTTTCAGTCCAAGTCTTGAATGCAATCAACACATACACTTGTATTATTCACTAAAATGACAAAAAAAGTACCTTTTATGATATGATAATATTGGAACAATCTATGAAACATTTACGGATACCTAAAGACTAACACGATGTAAAACAAAATGTCCCCGTTCTCGATAGTCCCGTTAGCGAGGCCAGATAGCGCAGTTGTTCCTTTCCCGTTCAAGTTTTAATTAAAAAAAGGGCTGTATTTACATAACGGTGAACAAAAGCAAATAAAAAAAATAAAGGCAGATAGAACATTAAATTTTCAATAATAAGAGATAAAGATAATGCAAAAATTTTATTGAAAACTATATTTAAAAAAATTTCAAACATTTAGCAATTTGCGCCCCGTCTCATATTTTTGAAAATGCTACGAATACGGTTAAAGATACAAGAAAAATATAAAAAAGAAAGTTGTAGAGAATGAAATTCCCAAGAAAAAGGCTTTGAACGTCTTTTAGGCCTAAACCATTAAAGACAAAGGACTTTTTACTAGAAAATTTTATTTTCTACAACTTTCTTTCTTACATTTTTCTTGTATCTTTAACCGTATTCGCAGCATTTTGAAAAACATGAAACGGAGCACAGATTTTGAATTTTAAATATTTTTTTTCTCATATTCCTCGTGAAAAAATTAGTGGTTCGTTTTTTACAGCTTATTAAGAATATAAAGCTCAACATTTTTGCATTTTTTTTCAAGCAATTAGTAAACTGGTTGAATTTAAATTAATTAAAAACGATTTGAAACTGAGACGATAAAAGGCTCTAAGTGCCCTGATTTTTACTCCGCCGTACTACTTTTTTTGGGTCGAAAAAAATCCAGCAATTTTGTATCTCGTTTCGTCTCCTAGTATGTAGTTCTCCGTAGAAACATTGCTGCTAATAAAAAAACTACAATATTTACGAATTTGTAATGTGCATCCAATGCTTGTTTGCGACAAACTGAGCGAAAAAAAACAAGGGTTTATTATGTCTATTTTTAGACGGGATAAGAGTAAGTTGTTTAATTTACCCGCAAATGGTTGAAAAAAATTCTTAAAAATTTGTCCTCTAAAAAGGACGCTGGGCGTTAATGGGTTAAACTTGTTTGGGACTTGACCTGACTTTTCGTTTAGTTGCAGACAATGACTCCGACAGCGTGGATTCGGAATACCTCCCAACTAAAGTACGAAAACGTCGCACTAGAGCACGAAAGAACGCTTCCGGTCACAGGAGCACAGGCCGGCCCCGAGGACGCCCCCCTGGCATTAAACGAGAACGCAAAGACACCGATGAAGAAGGCGAATTCCCATGTCCCAGCTGTAACGAGATTTTCCCTCGCATGAGTCTCTTAGACAAACACTCGAAAAGCCACGAAGCCGCCAAAGTCCACACTTGCAAAGTTTGCAACAAGGAATTCTCAAGGTTCAATCATTTGAAGCGTCATATGACATCGCATTCGGTTGTGCGACCTTTTTCGTGCGAAATCTGCGGTAAAAGGTTCTCCAGACGGGACCATTTGCAACAACACGTGAGACTCCATGATAAAAAGCAGGAACACAAGTGCGATATTTGTATGAAGATGTTTAACAGAGCCGATCAGTTGGCCAAACACAAGATTTCGAAACACGAAATGGGGGAGAAAGTGTTGGGCGAGAAAAAGTTCGAATGTCATGTGTGTTTGAAAACCTTCACGACTGAAAAATACCGTGATGTCCACGTGAAAGGCCACTTGGGGGAGAAGCGTTTCCAATGCAAAACATGCGATAAGTCTTTCCTGTCAAAGTCGCACCTAACCGAACACATGAAATTCCACAACGAACATTCAAAAAAGTTCCTCTGTTCAGAATGCGGTCAAAGGTTCATCAGGAACGATTATCTTGTGATTCACATGAGACGACATCGAGGCGAGAAACCTTTCAAATGCAAATTCTGCGGGAAGGGTTTTCCCCGAACCACCGACTTGACGGTGCATGAGCGCTACCATACGGGAGAAAAGACGCATCTTTGTACGATATGTGGGCGCGGATTCGGAAGGTGGAGTTGTGTTTTTTTCAGTTGTTTGGTTTGTTTGAATGGGGGAGTTTCAGGGCGTACAATTTGACGGTTCATATGAGGACGCATACGGGGGAAAAACCGTACAGGTGCACGTATTGCGAGGCGGCGTTTGCTCAAGGAAATGATCTGAAAGCACACGTGAGGAGGCATACGGGGGAGAGGTTTCAATGCGAGTTGTGTACGGAGAGTTTTCTCATGGGGTATTTGCTCACGCAACATAAAAGGAGTGTTCACGGTAGGGGAATTATTGAAAAAATCAATGGAATACTTAAGTTATTTTTAGGTTTGAACGTAGTCAGTAATATAAGGCGCCTTCACCCCATTAACAAGATAAAACAGGACGCGGACGAGCCGCCCCCGATCACTATTCCATTGCCTAAACCGGTAGTACCTGAAATCCTCATTACCAATATCCAAGCCCACTTGAGTCAAATCCAACATCATCAAATCGCTAGAGAATAACGTCTAAAGGTATGATTCGATTTTGTATAAACACACCTAATTTAATCTGTTTCAGATTAAATTAAAATGTACATATGAATATGTAGTTAAGGTACTGTAGTTTTGTCATTTTCATTTGAAGAATTCTCACTCAGTCTTTCACTAATTTATGTTTATTTTCATTTTAGTTTGATTTCAAGCAATGTTTAGCCCAAACTTTGTGTTTTATGTTTTCTAGCATGTTTGTAATGTTACAACGCATAATCTGTTTTTTGTATTAAAACTATTGAACGATCAAAATATTTTATGATTTAAGGCCTAATGTGAGGCGACAAATCAAATGTGTATTTTTTGATTGAAACGTATTACCATTTTTTAGTGTATAAAGGATGCCATTTTTGTAATTTACGTTAGTAGACTGTAAATATATTTTTACATTATGGAAAATAAAATTTTTGTGTGTATCTCCAGTCTTTTATTCATTTCAAAAGCGCTTAATAATCTTAATGCTATTCGTTATAACTCTGTTTTCATTTAAACAGAAGTTTAAATGTGTATACGGCGACGTCTATTCAACTTGTTTTATTGAAACAAAAAGGCGAAAGTTTATTCAATTTTAGAACCCATTTTATTAAACAAATTACAAATAAAATAAATCATTTTATTCAAAATGTTTCGCTGTTAAAATAAAGTCAAAAAATGAGACTGAAAACATATTATTTTTGCTCAAAACCAGTTAAAATAAAAAATAATATCTAATAACAATCTTGTTGGTAATATTTAGGCGTGTCTGGACAAGATTTTCTAAAATAAATGACTCTCTTTGTAATTTTTCAGCCTGTTTCATGCAATATTTCGAACTTTTTGTGTTTTTATCTCTTAAAAACATCTTTAAACACTGGAAAAAGACAAAAATCGCCGTTTTTGGGCTACTTTGTTGAATTTGTGGCTTGTTTTTGACAAATTGTGGAAAATAATTGTGTTTCTAGCTGAAAAAGCATCCGAAAGAACTAAAATAAGTTGTTATTTTCGACTCGTTTAGTAATATCTTGTAAAAACAAATAGAACTATTTTTAACTAATTTGGTGATTTTCGATAATTTTTTCTTCGAGAAAATTTGACGAAATAAAATAACCAAGTTAAAGCATAAGAGTTAGGTGAAAATATCATAATATAATCTTTTGTTATAACAATTTAGTGATTTATGATACGCTATGGCCAATTCTCGAAAAAAGACGAGTTTTCAGCTTAAAAATCTGCTTGAACTTTCGAAACACGAATTTTTTTATCATTTTTGGCCTAGTTCTGTGTTTTTTTGGCTTGTTTTTAACCAATAATTGTGTTTCTAGCCGAAAAACGTGCTAAAAACTCTCACAAAATGCAAACTTTATGTAATTTTCGACTTGATATGTTGATTTTTTTATTCATTTTGGCGAGAACTCGGAAAAAACCTGAGATTGTAGTACAAAAACGTGCTTAAAAACATTCTTGGCTTATTTTTGTCTTATTTCGCTCAAAAACCAGTTAAATCGAGTGAAACAAAACAAAATAATATCAATATTTTTGTGATATTTGAGCGTGTTTGGACAAGATTTTGCAAAATAAATGAGCCTGTGGTTCAAAAACAAAGCAAGTCGTGCGAAACAAGCCACAAATAATATGAATATCGATTTATTTTTTTGTAACTAATTTATTGAAACAAAAAAAAGGCAAAAGTTTATTCACTTTTAGAACCCATTTTAATAAATAAATTACTAATAAAATAAATCATTTAATTCAAATTGTTTCACTGTTAAAATAACGTCACAAAATGAGACTGAACATAAAAAATTCCGGGAGTTTTTTGTCCATCGTGATGAAAGTGCTGTTCGAAGAAAAAAAGTTAATAACATTAACGCAAGTCATAAAGAGTTTCTAAATATTGAAGCGTCTTCTATTCAAAATCCGGGTTTAATTTTGTTAAAATTAATTTAAATTATAATTCCATTAGACTAAACAATTTCGAAAATCAAGCTTTGACCGAAGCCCAATATTGAGCCACTTCGACACCTTCCCAGTCAGTCTTTTTCAATTTTGACAGTATACTGAAAATTTTCAATTGTTTAAATCTGAAAAAGTCAATTTGGCAACTTTACTTATTTTTGACGTGATTGTAGACTTCTTTTTCTTTATCACTTAACCCACTATGGAGCACGTCGAGATTGCACTTGAGCAACTCTGTGTTGTTCATACCGACAAGGATAGTATGAGGACCATCTTCATTTAGGGCGTAATACAGGGCGAGTTTCCCAATTTCAACACCGTTTTTCTAAAAACACGATTGAGTATTACGTTTTTTTCTTAAGGGGGCTTACATGGCAAAACTCTCTGGCTTCAGTGCACACATCTCCAATTTCTTGGGTCATTGGGTGCCATTCCGGGGGCCCTGCACTGCTCAACAGCCCCATGCAGTGCGGTGCTGCATTAACAATCGCCAAATTTTTCGCCTAAAACCAAAAAATGAAGAAACTGAATTTGTTTTTGAAAAGTACTTTGAAGCGAGGGAGATACTCCTTGACCGTTTGATTGAGTAATGACAGTCTTGTATAACACAAAACTGAGTCGATTTTAACTGTGCTTCTTTCGATGCATTCGGCGAGCACCGAAACCGGATATCCGGTCACCCCCACAAACCTGGTTTTGCCCTGTTTCTGCGCCTCGAGAACCGCTGGAAGCGTTTCATTGAGGACAATGTCCAACGAAGGTGCAAATTCGATGTCGTGGACCTGAGAAAAAATCCTGATAGCAATTTGATCGGTTTGATTTTAGACCAACTTGTAAAACGTCGACGTAATCAAGCTTCAGTTTTTTCAAGCTCGCATCGATGCTCTCTCTCGTTTTCTTCGCCGAGAAATCGAACATTAATTTGGGGTCTTTTTCGTAGCGAGCTACCTTGGTGGCTATGTAATAAGCTCTCCGTGGGATTCCCTCGAGGCACTTTAAAATTGTTGCTTATTTTTGAGCGAATGCAATCTCGGTGAGTAAATACAACCTTGCCTAGGACCTCCTCGGATACGCCTTGGCCGTACCACGGGGCGGTGTCGATGTAGTTGATGCCGTTCTTGAGGGCCGCGAGAACCGTCGCTTTGCATTGCTCGAGCGAAAACTGGCTGAAGTTTTGATAAGTGAGTTGATAAAACAGAGATTATCTCACCCATAATTCAAGCAAAATCCTCCTGTCCCAAGAGACAGCTGGGACACACTCATTCCAGTGTTACCGAATTTATTATATTTCATTTTTCTGACGGCATTCTCGTCGTGGAAACCCGGCACAAAAGTTTCAGGCAATTCAGACATTTCTGTGCAGTCTTAACAGGAATTAGGTTAAATTTACATCTAAAATATGTTTCAATTTGTTTGATTAAAGACAATTTAGTGACTGAATTTAGTTTTTAGTGAGACCGTTTAATAAACAAACAGTGGTTTTGGTATTTACACTGTGATAATATTACATCAAAACACAATTATGTGTTTGCGTATCATTGGTTGATATTTTCTGATAGCGTTGTGCATTCATTAGTAGAAGTGAAGGTCATGGGCTGGACAAACTTAGCGTTATTTATAGTTGTATTATTTTCGAATTTTTTTTATTTAGGAATTTTTTTGATTTTTGCTGCAGTGTTGCCCGATCAAAAACATAAAATTCACCAGATCCGAGTTGAAAAATTTGGCAAATTTTCGCCAGATTACGATTTGTATGGCAAATCTCGAGAAAAAACTTAGTTTTCTTTTTGAAAAAAAGCAAAAATGACATGCTTTTCGGCCTGATTCTGTGATTTTTCCCCTTGTTTTCAACAAAATTTTGTGTTTATAATTGATATACGTGCTAAAACGCTCGAGAAATGCAATTCTGGACTTAATTTCTTGATTATTTAGTTTTTTTCAGCGACATTTAGCGAAAAAACTTGAGATTTTGGTACAAAAACGTGTTTAAAAGCAATTTCGGCCAAATTTTGTGGTTTCTCGGCTTATTTTTGCTCAAAACCAGTTAAATCGAGTGAATTAAAAAAATAATATCAAATATCAATCTTGTTTGTGATATTTAGGCGTGTTTGGACAAGATTTTCCAAAATAAATGAACCTCTGGTTCAGAAACGAAGTAATTCGAGTGAAACAAGCTCAAAGATGATATTAAAATTCATTTTGTCAGTCTGTTTCTATGCAATATTTCGAACTCTTTGTGTTTTTATATCTTAAAAACATCCTTAAAGACTGAAAAAAGACAAAAAACGCCGTTTTTGGGCTATTTTGTTGAATTTGTGGCTTCTTTTTGACAAACTTTGGAAAATAATTGTGTTTCTAGCCGAAAAAGCATACGAAAAAACTAAAATAAGTTGTCATTTTCGACTCTGTTTAGTAATAACTTGTAAAAACAATTGGAACTATTTTTAAAACCTTTTCGATAATTTTTTCTTCGAGAAAATTTTACGAAATAACCAAGTTAAAGAGTTAGGTAAAAATATCATGTCTGGAATAATATAATCTTTTTTTATAACAATTTAGTGATTTTTCATACGCTATGGCCAACTCTCGGAAGAAAAATGAGTTTTCAGCATAAAGATCTGCTTGAACTTTCAAAAACCATTTTTTTATCATTTTCGGCCTAATTCTGTGTTTTTTGGCTTGTTTTTAACAATTTTGCAAAATAATTGCGTTTGTAGCCGAAAAACATACGTGTTAAAAACTCTCAAAAAATGCAAAATTCATGTAATTTTCGACTTGATATGTTGATTTATTAATTCATTTTGGCGATAACTCGCAAAAATCCTGAGATTGTAGTACAAAAACGTGCTTAAAACATTCTTGGCTTATTTTTGTCTTATTTTGCTCAAAAACCAGTTAAATCGAATAAAACAAACAAAATAATATCAATATCAATAAATTGTTTTTGTAATTTTTGAGCGTGTTTGGACAAGATTTTGCAAAGTAAATGAGCCTGTGGTGCAAAAACAAAGAAACAAGCTACAAATAATATGAATCTCGATATTTTTTTTAAATTTTTTGCCTGCTTCAACAAAATTTTTAGAATTTTCTGTTTTTATCTCAAAAACGTACTTGAACACCCAAGGGCAAAAATAACGTCGTTTTTTTGTGTTTTTCTATCTGAAAAAGTATTCGAAAAACACAAAAATAAATTGTCATTTTCAATCCTGTCTAATAAAGTCTTCTAAAAAAACAAACAGAACTATTTTTAACCAATTTGGTGACTTTTTGACTTTTTTGAAAAAACTTGATGAGATAATCAAGTTTCTTGTTGAAAACGTGGAGAATGCTCGAAAAAACAGTTTTTTTCACTTCCAAAAAAAAAATTCACCAGAAATTAGAATTTTTACAAAAGTTTTCACCAGATTAACATGAAAATCACCACATCTGGTGAAATTTCACCACACTACTAGTAGTAACTGTTTTGCTGGGAGAGTAGGGACTTTTTAATAAGATAAAAACTGTTCAAAAATTTTATTAAATTCGGTTACAACTGTCATTATAAAAAAGTACAAAACAATATAAATAACTAGGTATCTAATTACAAAACCAAGGCCACATTATGATTTCAGATGCTCGGTGGCCAAGTCTCTCATCCAGGATAACAAATCACTCGCTAGTGTTATCATCTTATCAACATCTTTACTCTTTTCAATTTGTTGATAAAGTGCCACGGTCCCCTTATTCAACAACTCTTCATTCTTTTCATTAACCTTCTCAAAATTCTTCCCCAACTTTTCAATTTTATTTTCCAACTTTTTCTCAACTTTATCCAACCTATCGATCTGATAATTTTTCTCTTTTCCCTCAACCTCCATCACTCCATCAATCCTGGGCGATCTTTTAAACTTTTCCGAATGTTCACCTCTTGTATGGATTGAATCAACAAAACTGTCCATCAACTCATCATCCCCATACCTAACTTTCAGTTCCGGTAGTGCAACTTGAACGTTATTTTCCCCATTTTTGTCGTCGAGATGAGGTCTTGAACAATTTTTATTTTTGCAGTTACAAAGAGCGTCAGTGTCCACTCGCAATTTCATGACACCATTCTCATCTTGGAACATTTTCAAAGGCAGATTAATATCTTGTCCAACATAATACAATTTTCTGACCCGAGGGTCGGCAATCGGCAAGCCATCTTTCGCGGGAACTAGGGCCCCAAAATAGGTCGCTTTTTCCCCGGATTCGGAAAACTGGCCCCGGTTTTCGAACTGGGGGGCCATTTGGACTACATTGGGAGGGTCTGTCACCGTTGTTAAGACATTGGGTTCCGTGAAACTTGTAGATGGTGTTAAAGTTTCACCAACTGTATTTCTTTGTGGGGGTTTGTAAATTTTAATGGTGCTGTCGGAATTGGCTTGACTGGGTTTTATTCTGTCTTCGACGAAAACTGGTTCCGGTTCTGGCTCTTGCACTGGCCCAAAATTTTCAAAACCAATTGAAGGGTTCTCTTCGATGATGTCCTGCGCTGTTGGTACTTGTTTCAGACTGTTTTGCACTGTTTCAAGGACATTAGTTTCCAAATTTTCAGGCGCAGAAGCTGCAACTTCTTGATTGGGTTCCACTTGAGCTCTCATGCCTTGATCAACAATGTCGACAATATTCTGCCCCATTGGTACTTCTTGCAGACTGTTTTTGACTGTTTCGAGGACATTTCGCTCCATTGGTGCTGGTTTTAGACTATCCTTGACCGTTTGAAGGACATTTTTCTCTAAATTTTCAGGAGTAGATGCTGCAACTTCTTGGTTCAGGTCAATAACTTGATTGTCTGATGTTGGGCGTGGTCTTGCATCATCTGGGACGCTAATAGTTTCCGCTTCTCCAACTGTGTTCATTTCTGGCTTAATCACTTTCGGAATTGTTGTCACTCTTTGCAAAAGGGGTTTATTTTTTGGTATTTTTACCCTCGAGACCATACTAGGTCTTGCTTCTTCATTATCGTCGACGAATCCATCATCATTGCCCTTATTTTCACTAATTTCTTTGCCAACTAAATTGAAACTGTCTTGAATCACTGGAGGATTTTTGATTTCTTCTTCTGATGATTCTTGTGATTCTTGCGGCGGTTTGACTTGAGGATGTTCTTCCGGTTTATTACGTTGGGCATAAGAAGTTGGCATGATGTCAATTAAGTCGTCAACGGCTTCGTCAAGATTACACCTGGTGCTGGATTCTGGTGCTTCTTGCGTGTTGCCAACATTGTCATTTCCCTGTTAAAAAATTGAAATGAAAGTTAAATCAACTAAATACGGTATAATTTACCTCATCTAAAACTTGTTCAATAATTTTATTCTTATTGGCTTGACTATCATCCCCCATTTCCCCCATCCTCGTGTCTAATTTCTCCACCAGATCCATTCTCACTTCTCCCGATTTCTCAATATTTGCTGTAATTTTCTTATCATCGCCAAAAGCTTGCGCCAAGTCTATGATAGTGATATCATGATCATCCTCCTCTCCCGTCGTCGCTTTCTTCTTGCCCAAAATCACGAATCTATCAAAATTTTTCGGAATGTTGAAAATTCGTGAAAGTAGACGCATTAAAAGTCCCGGTTCTACCGCCGCCAAAGAGTAGTAACGTGGTTGTGAGGCTTCTTCCATTCCTTTGAATCTTGAACCTACTACGATATTTTCCACAGGTGGGGTTACAGTTTCAGTTGCTGCCACAAGTGAAGGAGTTTCGCCATCTGTTGGTACGTTGCTGTCGCCGTCTTGAACTGAAGCAACTGTTGTGGTGGTGACATTCCCGCAGAAGATTTTACACGAGTTGCACATTTTGTATTTCTTGCAAAGTTTATTATTTTTGCAGGATTCGCATTGTTGGATGCGTTTTGCGCTGACGTCTCGGCGAGCCAGGGAAAGGATGGGCTCGGCACTCCCCACGAGTTCCTTCCTGCAAGAAATAAGAAATAAGAAATAAGAAATAAGAAATAAGAAATAAGAAATAAGAAATAAGAAATAAGAAATAAGAAATAAGAAATAAGAAATAAGAAATA